AATAATAATAATAATAATAATAGTAAATCTTCTGGTATTTCTAGAAACAGCTCCTTGCAGTTCATGGCAACTAAAGGACCACTATTTTTCTCAAGAAAGAAAAAAATAGTCACTGGTGTGAGAGGAAAAAGTCCAACTGGAAAGGAGATATTATTTGCAGAACTTCTCGTGTATCATCGCCACACGATTTATCACGTTAGAAAAGAAGAAAAAAAATTACTAAAATATATCATATGTACAAAGTATAATACTATAATGTAAGAGATGTACAAAATTTTATTCAAATTCATTCGGTGTAGATGAAGTACGTTGATGTTTGTTTGGATCGTTTCACCTTCATAGTCAGTTAACAAAATAATAACTGGCGACGTGACATAGCTTCTGTGTAAAATTGCAGGTGAAAAAAATGTGTTGAAACGCAATATTTTTCTCTTCACGCCTGCGACAACCGTGAAAGTTGAAATCAATCGTTTCGAACTCGCGATATCTTAACGTCCGAGATATTTCAGTGTGTAAATTCATCCGTTTATTAATGTGATTTTCAGTCATTTGTCACGATCTAGCTTGAAGTGGATCCTTTCATCGATTAGATAGAATGCAGAAGAGACTTAAAATTCTCGGCGTTGAATTCTTTTGTTTATATTACACATTTGATAAAAAAAACTGCGTGCGACTCTTCTGTTTCGTGCAATTTAACTCCTTTAACAATTGATCGAAACACTTTTATCTTGATACGATATCAATAACAGGTTAGATAGTTGAACTTTTCGCCAGGTAAATTATAGTAAATGTCGGCTCGTTCTCGCGTTTTACTTGGAATTTCTGTTCCCTCGAGTAAGCAGTCGATACTCGAGAGATTTCACGTTTGCAATTCAAAAGTCAGCATGTGCTTGCTCGAATAAAATGTAATATCGTAATCTGTATTTATCACGATCGAACGTGTCTGAGATGGATTTAATCGAAAATTCAAGTGAGAAAGTCTGTGATTGTTCAATCGTTGTTACACGTAACTTTCGTTCGTAATTTTCACTCGTTTGTTTTAGACACGATTGAGAGTTTTACGGGGGTTTTGGATTTGGGAATTGAGAGCTCGAAGCTGCAAGGTTTGTCGAAAGTGAAAAAGAAAAAAATGTTGAAGGTGTCGAGAAGTAACGTCGTTTTTCTTTTTTTTTTTTCACCAAAATGAAAATTTGTGATTTTTGCTGTTTTAGATAAATATTAGTTTGTTGTATAGTCTTTTTTTTTATCGTTTGTCAGGATTGTTATCCACCGACTAATTAGAGTTTCGAGGCCTTTCTTGTAAAAAGTCGCCTGATTTATAAGGAAAATATTCCGCAAGTATCTTGGAAAAGGTGATAGTTCGATAGAGCCAAATCAGGATAATATGATGGATTGTCACTAGTTGGTTTAAAAATAGATTCCTCTCAATACGATTAAGCAACAAATTGCATAGTAACGTTCTTTGTGCTTTGTACTCTTCACAAAAAGTCACGTTGTGTCTACACTTCTTGTCTATACACTTTTCTCATTTGGCAGAGATGTTCCTGTACGATGAATCAAGAAGCCGCAAGTCTGTTCACTAAATTCTAAACGATTTGAACACGACTCGATTCATTTGGAGAACCAAACTCGTCGAATCAATCGATGACTCGTCGAGAATCAAGACTGTCAGTCCTCCCAGAAGGAGGCCGAAATCTCGAAAACCAACATTGGCATTTACGGACGTTCGAAGAATTTGGATACACACTATTATATCGGCTGCCTTGGTAACATTATTATTATCACCTCGCCAAGACTCAAAAAGCACAAAGATGTTTAATATGTTCTTTCACAAAGTTTCTCTCTTCGCTAGCTGTGTTTATTTGGATAAAAGCTTCGATGAAAACTGAACGACAAATTGTGCATACTTTAAGGCTCTCCTTAAAGATGGAATTTGGAAGCAGCGTCCTACAAATAAATCTATAAATATTAATAATTTCGAAAACAAGTTGGACATTACTTTCAGATACCTCTGATACATCTGGCTAGTACTCACAATGTTTCATCACGGATAATATGTACATAGTTCCAATTTTTTAGCGAAATTGTGTTCCTCTTTTTTTATCTAATTTTTTCTTTTCTTCGTTCGTCCGACGATTGAAATCGCTCACTCATAAGAGGATTATTTTTCCGTCTTGTTACTGAATGTATGAATGATGGATTATTTCACTTTTAACTGGTATTGAAACTTTATGTTGAAATAGCGAGTCATTGAAGTAAGGGTACAACAGTTTTATCGGTATATAAACTTATGTGTATTGTACTCAAATGATGGTTGCAATACAAGGTAATAATATGTTCAATTCCGGCCCTAAAATATATTTAAATTGCATATGTTATACGAATTTAAATATGGTGTTTTTTGTGAAAAGAAACATTTATCTATCTTTTCCTTCTGTGTTAAAAAATTAAATAATTGAAATAAATGATCTTTTTAATTTTAGATTCGTGTAATCGTTGTTAAAAAGAAAGCAACAACATCTACAAAAATTTATATGGATATATCAAATGGATATACCTGAGTATTGCTGTTTAAGTTAAGATTTATTCGAATATATATATTAAGAAATATATATTTCAACTTTCGAGAAAGTAGGTATTATACTGCGCCATCTTGTACATAATATACATAACTATCAACACATTACCACAAAGTATATGAATAGACAGTGGATACAGTATACGTACATCGTCTGTGATATTATGTACATATATGGATAATGAAGATCACATGTCACATACAATACATATATCAATTATTCCAACGAAATGACGAAAGATGTTATGTAGACTTTATTGACAAGTCAAAAAAGTTCTCTTTTATTTTATATTAAAATGATTAAAATGATAAATAAAATATATTTAACAAATATATCCGTTCTCATTTTGAAAGACAAAAACAGAAAAGAATAAATGAAATTTGCAATAATAATTAATATCATTAACGCGTTGAACGGACTCAAATTCAAGCATCACCGCAATGTAACAGATTAAACAGTATATGTGTTTATAATTAATCTACTTGCCTTTATGCTACAATTGAGATTGTTTAAAATCGATTTCTTTTCTAGATTTTAATTTTTAGTCTGTTTACGGTTTTAGCAATTGCAGTAGGTTGTTATTTGTTATTTAATAAATTCGGCCAACAAAGTAATTTGAGATACTGTGGTGTCGAACTCTCAAGTTAATTTTTGTGCTCGACAACTCAAGAGTGATACATATATGTTTAGATAAGAAAAATCGAGATAATTATTTGTTTAAAATACTTTCCCAGGTCCGCCTGGTCCATTCGAGTTGGTTCGTCAGTTTCATTCTGTTTTCCAAAGTTTTTAGATAGTAAAAGATTATCTATGATTTTTTTATCCTCAAAATGTTTACTAGACAGTGTAAAATTTTTTGCAAATTATAAAACTTAAAAAATCCTACATAACTGAACGAAGGAAAGTGTTACCCATGGTTGGATGACAAGAGGCCTTCGCGTATATATATTCCTCATCCAGATTTGGGTGGCGAAGCGTTTAACGTGTTAAAATGATAAATACGATTAAATTTGACATCCTCACTCAGGTTAACAGCGAATTCTCCTGAATTTGAAGTAAAGTAGACTTTCGTATAACATCATATGTATTTATTGTCTACTGTTACACAAGATAATGGGGTATTGGAAAAATTACTAATTAATCTTCGTTATTATTACAAAAAGCTCAACTAAGCGCAGCTTTTTCAAAAAAATTACAATATGGATATTAGAGTATTGATATCACTATTGATGTATAATATAAGTAGTTGATATTTAATATGAATATAAAATTGTTTTTGCAGTATTCCTGTGCGAGAAAAATTTGATGACTGTAGCCATCTAGTGGAAATAGTCATGTATTACATAATAGATAATCTGTAATATGAATTTTTATTACAACTACATATTTTACAGAATACAGATTTGTTTTTATTTTAATTATATTTTTCAAACTTTGATATTTAAAAAATTTTTTTTAAAATAATATTTTTTATGAAAAAGTTTAAGAAAAATAAAATAATATATACATAATAAGCATATATTTATTTTATATTGATATTAAAGTAATAGTTTTAAGATTTAAAATATTATAATTTATTAAAATATTATCAATATTATTATACAGAAATTTTATTTATGCTGGTCCTAAAATATCTACATTTGCTGTTGTGTCTTGGATATTACTATGAGCTATCATATATTCTGAAACTGATATGTATATTCCAACTAATAATCCAATTACACTTGCTATATAAATATTTCGCTGGAAAATAATGCATGTAGCTATACACAAGCCAAAATATGTAGCATATCTTGCAATATTCTCTTGTTGTTTACGACCCAATAAATCAGAATCTATAATGAATACATGATTATTATTATTATTATTAATGTTATCATGTACAATTATTATTTATTGAAAACATACTTATACAAAAATTATTCTTTTTACGATATCCCTCTGCACATTTTATACACATATCTGGCCCATCACCTGTGCACTCATTGCAAGCCTTGTCACAATCTAAAACATTAATTAAAAAAATAACAAATGTTAAATTATTCTTACTATTAGTATATTTTTTTGTAACATACTTAAACATATATATCCTCCTTCTTTATTAATACAAAATTGATTCCCACGGCAATATTCATTACTTTTTATACATTCATCAATATCAAAGCAACCTTGTCCATTTATCATATGCCACCCTTTTGTACATTTCTCACAATTTTTTGGTCCTGGTCCTTTACAAGATCCATCACAGGCATTATGACATTGAGAGCAAAGCAATTTATTTTCATCTTTATAGGATTCATAAAATCCAGTTGCACATTCAGAACAATCATTTCCCTCATAGCCTTTATCACAAAAGCATTTACCATTTCCTTTTCTAGTACCTTCTCCTTTGCATTTACCATTATTATTGCAAATCTTATCTGGAAAACCTTGACATGGTTTACATTCTGGACCAAAATGGTCTTTTGGACAACAAGATTCTAACTGTTCAATACATATATAATCATGAATATCTAGGTATGCCTGCTGATGATTAAACCACCAGTCTTCTATTTTATTTTCTAATTCTTCAGCTAAGGACTGACACTGTGTTTTACCACGTTCTACTTCCTCACATAGATGTTCTTGTATTTCTATCAATCTAGTTTCACTTTTTGAATATGAACCTAATTTATCTTCCTCCCATGCACTATCACCACCATCAAATTTTTCACGGCTAGTCCTTTCTATACCCTGTATAACAAAATAATTCAGTAAATAAATGTGAAATAAATATACAAAACATACTTATACAAGTAATGATTAAACAAGAATAAAATTATTTAAACAATATTGTTATAATAAACTTAATTTTACATTTATCATACTTGTATACAAAGCATATATATATTTATATATATTTTTATGCATATATTCGTTAATTTTTAACTTACCTTCTTAAAACTATTAACTAATATCTTACAAGCCGCGCACGGAGGAAATTTTTGAGCTTTGAGTTCTTCGCTTGAAGGTGCTTTGTCGCACTTCACAGAAGCAAACATATAAAGTAAAATAAACAAGCTTAAGAAAAGAAAAGAAATAACATTGGTTTTTCGCATTATTCTACTGGAACGTACCGGTCACTACTTTACGCTACTTTACACCAGCATTTACTTAGAGACTAATGAATAATTACTCTTAAATATGAGTCGCAATATTTGTATAATTTATTTTATAGTGTTTTATAAATCATTGCTTCGTTAAACATTTCAACTATTGTCAATATACAAATGACTATAATATTCCGATAATTTTTCAGATAAACAGTACCACGTCTTAATAATACAACAAATATTTTGTAACTGAACATGCGCGTTTCAATCAATATAAAAGTGACACGTTGATTTCATTCATTACAAGCAAATAGATATGTATATAATTTCATTCCAATTCAATGTTATTTTTTATTATTTCTATTGTATTTGGGATACCTAAATAAATATTTTTTTTTATTTCAAAGAGC